GTCCCCCTGCCCTCAGCCCCATCCTGGGCGAGGGACAAGCTGGGATCTGTCTGTAACGCACAGAAATCAGGTAGGACGAGCTCTCAGCCTGCGCCCCTGAAAGCCGGCGGCTTGTTTGGGGGGGGTCAGACATTGGTGGTGGGGGGTTAACTGCCCCCTAACGGGCTCTCTCCCATGGGAAAATGCCCTGAGGATGGGAGAGGTGGATGGGCAAACTGCTTACAGCAGAACCTGGGGCATTTGTGGCATGTGTGCCTGTCTGTGGGGTGTGCGTGGGGGTGTGCATGCGTGTGGTGGGGAGGGTCGTGGGTGTGCATGACCTTAATTGTCAGTTTTTACTGAAAAATTCCCGGGTTTGATAGAAGCCGTTATTTGGTGTTTACTGATTTTCACCCCAGTTTTGGCTCACTCAGGCACACGGAAATACTGATTGTGGTAAGAAAATCCAACCCATGACAGCCGGTTGATGTGTTTGTGTGAATAATAAATTAGTCTAAGTGTGAGTGCAAGACTGCCTGTTAACGTGAGGGGATGGAGAGGAAGTTACACACAGACACGCGCGCACACAAACACCATTACTGTGCAGTCCAGGAAATAAACCACAGCATTAAACTCCTTTGACGTTCCCTCTGTGTTGCTGTTGGACCTGCTTTTCACCCATGTTTTAAAGGTTTAGAACAAACACACCTGTGCCCAGCTGGAGCGGGGCTGTTACAGGGAGCTGTCCTGTCTGTTATACCCCCAGCCAGGGGCTCACTATGCCCCACCCCCACCCCCACCCAGCCCGACCAGGTACTCACCGCCAGCCGCAGCAGGTGCCAGGAGCCCGCAGAGTGCCAGCAGCAGCCCGCAGGCCATGCTCTTGTGTTGCACGGGGAGGGTGACCGGACAGCACGTGGGAACAGTCCGGGGGGGGGGGTAATAGGCACCTGTATAAGATAAAGCCCCGAATATCCGGACAGGGGACTCAGCCCAGCTGGGCTGGTAGAGCCGGGCAGCCTGGCACAGGCCCTGGCAGCCCAGAGCACAGGGACCCACCCACCGCCACCCCACCCCGGCACTATCACTATCACTTTCCAAAGTGTCACAGCTGCCTGTGTCCGACTAATCAGGACGCAGGCAGAGGCTGTTTGTCATCGGTATCCGGGCAGAGGTGCGAGGTGAAGCCGCAGACCCCAGGCCTCAGGGTCCTGCCCCGTGCCCGGGGTGCGAAGGGCCGGGGCAGCGCTGTGTGCTGTGCTGGGCCGGGGCTGCAGGGCCTGGCGGAGCCTGGGGGGCTGGGCGGGGAGGAGCTGGACCTGCTCTGGGGCAGGGCACCGGGCACCATGGGGCACAGGCACAAAGGGGGCGAAGGGGCCAGGAGCGAATCCCGGCTGGAGGAGAAGGAGGTTTCGGACCCTGCAAGGGGTGAGGCTGGAGCAGCCCCCATAGGAGCTGGGGGGGGCACAAACCATCCCTCCATTGCCAGAGCGAGCTGGCGACTGGACCGTGGGACTGTCTGGCGGGCGATGGGGATGGTGGGTCCAGGCTCGCGGCTCTGGGGCTCGTGTCCCGGTGACAGCTCATGTTCCTAACGATCATGTGTCACGGAGTGTGGGGGAGTCAGGGCCCTGCACCCCTCTTCCTGAGATTCACCATGACTCTCAGCCAGCCAGTAAAACGGAAGGTTTCTTGGACAATAGGAACACAGGCTACAGCAGAACTTGTAGGTACAACCAGGACCCCTCAATCAACTCCTTCTGGGGGGTTCAGGAAGCTTAGACCCCAGCCTTGGGGTTCCCTGCGTTGCACCACCCAGCACACACTGAAAACCCCCAATCCCTTCAGCAGCTCTCTCCCCCTTCCCCTCTGCTGCTCCTCTCCTTTGTTCTGTCTCCCGGGCAGAAGGTGTCACTTCTCCCACCCCCCTCGCAGAAAAGGATCTAGGGGTCACAGTGGATGAGAAGCTGGATATGAGTCAGCAGTGTGCCCTTGTTGCCAAGAAGGCCAACAGCATGTTGTGCTGTATTAGGAGGAGCATTGCCAGCAGATCAAGGGAAGTGATTATTCCCCTCTAGTCGGCACTGGTGAGGCCACATCTGGAGTATTGCGTCCTGTACTGTGGACTGCCCCAGTGGGGCAAAGCCCTAGGATGGAGCTGGCCCAGGAGGTCGGGAGGGGATGGTGGCCTGGCCGCCTGCGAAAGGAAGAGAGCTGCCCTGCTGCACACACATGCGGGAAGGTGCCTGTTGCTGAGCAGACACCCATCACATCGCCTAGACCCCGATGGCGACTGTGGGACAATCACAGGGGGTGGTAGGATGTCGCCCAGGAGGTCGTCCTACGGGAGGAGGTGGTGGCCTGGCCGCCTGAGAAAGCAAGAGAGCTGCCCCACTGCCGCCATAAGATGCCTGGTGGTGAGCAGACACCCATCACATCGCCTAGACCCCGATGGCGACTGTGGGAGAATCGCAGGGGGGTGGTAGGATGTGGCCCAGGGAGAACAGCCGTATGCATCCCCTGGCTGTCACATCACTGATAGCCCTCAAAGGGCCGTGGGTCAGAGCCTGGTGGAGTGGGTGGGCCTGGGCTTCCCTACCAACAACCCCCCCTGCAAGTCATGGGCCTAAGCCCTGACCACTAGCCAACACTACCTGACCAACCAACCCCCGAGCAAGGACCATCACAGGGGGATATGACAAAGGTCTGTAAAAACATGACTAGTGTGGGGAAAGTGAATAGGGAAGTGTTATTTACCTCTTTGCATAACACAAGAACCAGGGTCATCCAATGAAATTAACAGGCAGCAGGTTTAAAACAAACCAAAGACAGTAGTTCTTTACACAACGCACAGTCAACCTGTGGAACTCATTGCTAGGGGATATTGTGAAGGCCCAAAGTATAACTGGATTCTAAAAAGAATTAGATAAGTTCATGGAGGACAGGTCCATCAGTGGCTATTAGCCAAGATGGTCAGGGACACACCCCCATGCCCTGGGTGTCCGCAAACCTCTGTTTGCCAGAAGCTGGGAGAAGGCGACAGGGGCTGGATCACTTGGTGATTCCCTGTTCTGTTCATTCCCCCTGGGACACCTGGCATTGGCCACTGTCAGGAGACAGGACACTGAGCTAGATGGACCTTTGGTCTGACACAACATGGTCGTTCTTATGTTCACAACGGCTCCATTCCAGTCAGGTGAAGAAACCGGTGACCAACGGGGAATCTCCAGCCATGGGCAATGGAAGCTTCTCAGGAGCTGGGCCGGGACTATGGAACTCATCACCCCATGAAACGAGGATCAGAGCCATCCCTGGGCACAGCAAATCGGGGCGACCATCCAGGCCCCGCGCTTTGGGGGCCCCCGCGCGTCGATAAAACTGTGAGGAGGCGGGCGGGGAGGGGAGGCGGGAAATGGGTGAGCGTGATGAGGAGGTGAACGGGGAGGCCAGCGGCAGGTGGGCAGGCGGGACAGGGGTGAGGAGGCAGGCGGGCAGATGGCGAGGAGAGCGGCAGGCGGGGAGGGTGGTGAGTATGCGAGTGGCAGCTGGGCGGGCGGGCGGCCGTGCAGGGCGGACGGTGAGGAGACTGGCATGGAGGCTGATTTGTCCCGCCCGCCCCCAGGGACGGCCCTAACGAGGATGATCGTTAAATTCCCTCCATTCCGAGCTAAACGCAAACCCCATCTCTGTGCTTCCCC